ATTATTATTCTCTAAGTCTAGTTAGTTATGTACCCCCACACGTGCATAGATGCGGGACCATCCATTGGATCACGGGAATTCTACAGTCCCGCGTTCTCCAAACAGAATGGGTCTCGTTCTCCTAGCAAATACCCATTGCCCCTCAGTGAGGGGCAAAGATCTAGTCTGGGATTTTTGCCTGGCTTGATCCTAGTGGGTCTTGTGCAGGAAACCACAGCTGGGTGTGGGTTCATTGTAGCCATGTTATTTAGCAGCACTCCTCCCCATCCTCGGGCTCCGCCCCATCTTCTGGCCCCTCCCCCACTCTCCTGCTCTTACATTCTTTCTGCCTCCTCTTCTGAGACTTTCCCCCGAGGAGCCTCCGTGGTAAGAGAATCCGGTGTAGACTACACTGTCCAGGGCTGAGCGCCCATCTCTTGCTCTCAGCGCTCATCTCTTAACATCTCTCAGTAGAGAGATGCCCTGTTCGTTATGTATCTCTACACCAAGAAGCTACAAAAAGGAGCCTCTGCAGACACAGCTGAAAGCAGCGGAGGTCTGTCAGAGCCGGAATTGGGTGGTTTATGTGTGGGGTGAGGGTGAAGAGGATGTGTTCTCCAGTAGCCTATGTATCCCAGGGTGACCTTGAAACTCTGACCCTCCTGCCTCCGTGCTAGACAAACAGCCTTGGCCTTGAACAGCAGGAACTGAAACCAGGGCCTGGCACACAATCAGTGGACAAGCTCTATATGACATCCTTGGCTGACAGGCTGCTTCCCTTCTTCCAGAACTGTGTGTGAGCAGCAGCACATGGGAAGACCACACTGTTTTTCAGGTCATCTAACCAAGGACAAGGGGGAGGAAGATTATGATTTAAGTCTTTATCACTGAAGTCCCGGGTACCCCACCTCCACCCTGTCATTGATTGATTCTGTGGTAAATGGCCAACCATTCACCCAGGGAGGGCAAAATCCAAGGGTTACTTCAGAAATACACACAGAAGAGGTGCCAATCAAGCGGCTTGTCAAGGTCACAAATCCCAACCCATGACTTTTGTTCATGCAGGTTGCAGATGGACAGACGTCAGGGTATGAGGCCCGGCTCTGATCCCGGGGCCCGGGAATGAGGTTTGCAATGCACTCAGGTCATGTAGGGGGCAGACAGTCCGAGACGCGGGAGGGAATCTGACGAAGTTCTAAGCAGTCTTGTGCCGTGGATTCTGCAAATGTGAAGATCAGCATCGGTGGGCGCTAGCCCTCCCACGGTTCCAAGCTTAAAACTCAATTTCCTCATTGAATTCCTTCCTCCAACCAAACAAAGAAGATCTCATATATAAAAAGGAAACCTTTCTGGAGAGCCAGAGAGTCACTGCAGTTGGCGATTCGTGTGCCACACCGGCATAGTTTCTGAACTCAATCCCCAGAACCCGTGTTTTAAAAAGCGGAGCATGGCAGCACACAGTTGGAATTTCCGTGCTGGGGAAGCAGAGACAGGCCGATGCCAGGAGCTCCCTCACCAGCCTGACTAGCCTAATCAGTAAGTGAACTCCAGGTCAATGAGAAACCCTGTCTCAATAAACAAGGGAGATACCCTTTGAGAAACAGCAGTAAAAGGTTTGGGCCTGACCTACACACACACACACACACACACACACACACACACCTTTTCCAGATGTTGTAGTAGTCTGGAATATATTCTAGGCTGATACGTATGTGCTTGGCTGCAAAAATAGAATGAAGGCCCAGCCCAAAGAAAGCAGTTTACAAAAGAAAGAAAGAAAAGTCTTCAGGAGAGCAGTGATGACATCAGTACATCACCAGCGAGCTCCTCCATCTTCACACAACACTCTAAGGTTGAAGAGCACTTGTCCCTGTCTTATAAGAGGGGAAAACTGAGGCTCACACATGCTTCACCACCCATCTCTGTCACCACATTAGTTAAATATCAGCCTAGGAATCTAAACTCAGCTCCTTCTCTCTGAGACCAGGCTCTTTAGTTCGGCAGGTCCCTGCTCTTCTAAACCCAGTCATGACATTCTCAGGGCCAGTGTGCCCAAGTCCAGTGACCTGGATATGCCCACAGACTATGACTGTGTGTTTCTGCAGTAGCCTAAACCAAGGCGTCCAAAAGTCCACAACCCCTCACTGCTCCACAGCCTCTAGAAGTCAAGTCCTCCTTGGGATTCCATTTGGAGTTTTGTCCTCCTTGGGATTCCATTCGGAGTTTTGCATTGCTTTCATGTATGGCAGCGTGATTCTACTCTCATTTGCTAGAACCGGCTGTTTGGGAGCGCCCCTCACTGCCCAAGTCCAACCCACGCTTCACCTTTGCCAGGTCCTTCCCCTGCCTTCTTGGCTACTATAGCTCTGGTCGCTCCTTCATCTTTTCCACGCCTTCTCCTCCAACTCCAGCCTTCCCTTCCCCAGAACCTGACCTGGGCTACATGAAATGCTGCCTCATGATATTGTATCATTAGGAGCAATGGAAATTGACCGCAGCGGCGACTTTGAAGTTAACTGAGACAGGGTAGCAGCATGAACCATGATTATAACTCTGCTGATCCGGGAGACACCAGGCTGAGCTTGGGAAACCAGTCCCAACGAGGTTCTTGAAAGATCTGCAACCATCCCATCCCTTTGGGTGCACGCTTTTCTATGGCCGACTGGGAGCAATAATTAAGCTCTCTGAAGGCACAAATGGCTCTTCATTCGACACTTCAAGGCACAAACGAGTATAATTTGGAGGCCCTGTCGAGATCATACCTGGCTACTGGAAGTCTGGCTGCTTGTCATACGGTGAATAGTCACATCCTTCCTGTCCCACAAGAATTTAGCTTCTTCCCATCAGCTACTCATGTAGCCATAATCAGCACCTATTCTACCGCCATAACAACCAGAGAGGTGAGGGCTTAAATGCCACAAACCCGCAGAAGGGTTCCTTTACTCAAGGTGTCTGCTCAGTGAAACACCACGCAGCAGGTTAAAAGAAGGGGGAGGATGTCACTCCCTGATGTCAGAAAATGTTCATTACACAACGGGAGAAAACACGGTGTAAATTCAGTCCCATTTTGTGTGCTGGCTACACAGGGATATGTAAATGCATGTTCATATAGACATTTACTTGAGCATAAAGAAGAGTCCGAGAAAATAATCAACAGCAGCTACCAGTGGGTTCTCCAAGAACTTGGCATGGGTGGAGGGTCACTTTTTTCCTCCGCATCTTTCGAATGGCTTGGTGTTTTTGTCAATGGGTACAACTCCTTAAGGAATCTATAATAATATTTTCATAACTGGTGTCATGGTCATCTAGTCTACTAATATACATTCTCTTCCATGCCAAAACTAGCACCTTCTACCAAACCCCATCCCCATTATCTGGGGTTGGTTAAGTGGGATTTGGGGGCTTCTGAGTCTCTCTGAGATTGTGACAAGTACTGGTGCATTTTTAAAAATAATATAAAAACAACAACAACAAAAACCTGCCAACTGCTGTCTCTTAGAAAGCTGCCAGGTCCTCAGAGAGTTAAACCTGTGCTCTGTAAATTCAATTTGAAGTGTGGCTTTACCTTCGTATGCTTGCTCAATGACTCTTTGGGGCCAAGAACAAAACAATGAAAGAATCTTCACCTCTAACACACCTGTTCCTAGCTGCCTGTAGCAATGCCTAGCCCTTGCTAGGTGTCTGAAAGGAAATCTGACCAGGTGCTTCATTCTTAAGAATTGACTCAGCCAAAGCGACACGGTAGAAATAGAGGTTTGGAGAAATAGATGCATAAGGAAATAAATAACCCAGGGCTCATTGTTGGGAGAGCACTTTAAAAAAAATACACTTCAAAGGATTCTATGCTCAAGTTAGCCACAAACCTCACATAGCATTTCTGCATTATTCATAGGCATGAGAAATATTAGGGAAATATACAGATAATCTAAAAGCCCGGGCTCCATTCCATTGTATGCCAACCAGTTAGATACCAAACATGAGCTCACACCAGAACAAAGTAAAAGAGAGCTGTGTAGTTTGCAAAAGGAAGGTTTGCCTTCACTCCCTACTACCTACTGTATGAACTATAGATCAGAGCATTAAAATCACCCACCACGACAGGTGTGGTGGTGCACACCTTTAATTCCAGCACTCAGGAGGCAGAGGCAGGCAGATCTCTGTGGGTTCAAGGTCAGCTTGCTCTACACATAGCATAAACTCCAGAACGTCAAAAGCTACATAGCGAGACCCTGCTTCAAAAAGCCAAGCACTACCCACCACAAGGAAACTTCCTGGGGAGGCAGAATCTCGGACCCTCCACAATCACCCCTGGAGGAGGGTCTGCATGACGAAGTCCCCAAATGTTTCAGAAGAAGGAGATCAATTCCTTGACTCCGTCAGAAGTCTACTACTCCAAGCCCTGTCTTTGAGCTCTTCGCTAATTGGGCAAGATCTGCTCATGGCATTAATGCAAATAGGGAGAGGTTTTGTTGCTCATTAGGTGAGGCTCTGCAGCTAGTCCCCAAAAAAGAGAGGACAGGGCACCGTATAGACAGCTGGACTTGGCTGGGTATTCACTTCTTCCCCGACTACCGACTTACTGCTCGGTGGGGTACTCTTAACGGAACTAGCCTAGGTCGAGGGTGACACACTGGATCTGAAACAACCTGGGGCCAAAATCCCAAAGAGAGTAACAGGGGAGGAAGGTGACCAGGCTAGCACTTTCTGTCTGAGACCAAGGTGGGCAGCTGGTACTAGCCCTGCTTGGTAAATCACTCACTTTTACCATGAGACTGGGGGTAGGGACAAGGAGAGCTGAGACCAGAGGAGGACTAGGACAGGTGAGCATCTGGAGGACAGCCCTCCCAGGGGGCCTGCTCCATCACCAAGAGGAAGAGGATGAGGGCTTGTGTACAGCAGGGCAAGAGGCAGGAATCTCAGGTGTCAAACGGGCACACTGGCTACCAACAGGGGGTCCAGAGAGGCAGGCCACCCCCGGGCGCTCTAATAGACCAGACGGGGCCACCAGAGGCCTAACTCACAGCTGTGCGATGCCCGCTTTGCGCACTGCGGACGAGATGGCTTTGACCGCGGTGCAGAGCGAGTTCAGCAGCTGGGTCATCTCGCCCGTGCCGTGAGCCTTCCTGCCCTCCTCCATGACGAATCGGGTCAGGGTATTGATATCCGTGTCGAAGGGCGCCTTGTCCGACATGGTTGGGGCCTGATAACAGGTGCGAGCCGCAGGAGCTGGCTGCAGGTGCAGGCAGGAAGAGCCCACAAGGGATGGTCACAGCGGGAGTTCTGAAAGCTGCCCGGTGTTTGCAGAAGCTCCGTGAACTTGAGTCCTGGGGGACCTTAAAGCCATCAGGTCTCCGCCCCCTGTCCCAGGAAACACCTCTTTTGCTCCCTGCCTCCACCCAACTGCCATTCTGCCCCGTGCGGGCGGAGATCCTCCTAGCCTTCCCCTCCCTCCGTTCCATGCACCCTCCCCTAGATGCCACGCTGACATTGCCACTTCCTCCTCGGTTGCTCCACAGCCCCACCTGCATTCTGCAGCATGCCCGTGGGCTACCTGCCTGAAGATCGCCTTCAATTCCTGCAATCACCTGCCAAAGAGGAAGGCCTGATGAACTCCCCCCCCACCCTACCCCACCCCGGCTTAAAATACAAAGCAAATCCGGGCGAGGGGGTAAATAACTTGCTCAGTTACCTTCCCTGCAGAGCTGGCAGAGCCCAGGCTCTGCAGACTGACCTCTCATCACCCCAGGCACCCTGTCAACTGTCTCTTCACTCACCTGAAATTTTAAAATTTCATCCGGTCTGAAACCTCAATTGCTGCCTCCTGGAAACTTCTAGAGTTGGAGAACATTGAGCACCTTAGTTTCCAACAAGTGTGTGTCCTGCAAGGGAGACAATTGCAGACACAAATTGTCCTGAGATCAGGCATGTCCCCAGCCTGCTCCTGTTGTAGCTGTCACAAGTCACAGACTGATCCGTAAAACAATTGCTGAACAGCAACTGTGTACCTGAGCGCCTGCTCTTTTTGTGGTCAGGGCCTCATGAGTGTAGAGTTTAGAAAACAAACAAACAATGCTACAGTAGCCACATTGGCACAAGGAAGAATGAAACAGGAAAGACAAACACATAACGCTGGGGAGAGAAAACTGAGCCGTCAGGGGAAAGTTCACTGAGAAAGTAATATTTGAGCAAAAAGCTGAAGGATGTTGGGGGAGGAGCCAGTGAGGACCCGTCTGTGAGGCTGGCTAAAACCAGCCACATCAGTGCAATCAGCTAGCACCAAGCTATCAGAGACCATGTCTCAAAACCAGATGGACGGTGCAAAGGAATGACATCCGTGGTGCCCTCTGGCCTCACACCTGTGCCCAAACAGGCACACTTACTCCAGGAAAGAAAAAAAGGGGGGGAGGGGGCAAGAAAGACTATATAACTTATGACAGATCTCAAGAGTCACAGCAAGACACTTGTGGGTTCTATTCATAGTGCATGAAGAACCTTTGGAAGATTTTGGTCTGAAAAGCAGCATGACTTGCTTTCTTCTGAATGGGGTGGGGACAGGCTGTGGAAGGTCAAGAGCTGAAGCTAGCAGTCCTGGTAGCATGCCTTCCATCCAGCTTCTTCGAGTCCCTTGTCCAATGTACAAACAAATTGCTTCAAACTATTTTCATATGGTGTGGGCTTGAAGCTTCCTGCCCTGCCTTGACCCACCGTCTCTTGGCATCATCACCCCCTCTGGACCCACTGTCTCTTATCACACCCTCCAGTACCATCCCCTTTTTCTCCGATTCCTCCTCTTCATCCACCTGCTCCACCCTGTGCTCCAATGACTCATTTTCCTAAGAAATTACCCTCCCATCCCTGGAGACAACATTGAACAGTCTGATGGTCACAGCAGGGTGGGACAGGGGATGCTGCCACAATATAGTACCAATAATGAGCTCAACCGAGGCCACAGGGAGCCCTGAGGCTGAGATGACCCTTCTACGCTGGCTTCAGTGGGGGGGGGAGTCAAGATGCTAGAGACCAGGGCCACCTGTCATCCTCTGTAGGCTGCCACGGAAGGGCACCTGTCACAGGACGCGGGTGACAGTCTCTGCCTTCAAAGCCCAACACTGTCTAAGCCCAGCGGCACTGGAAGCTATCTGTGGAAGAAGTTATAGTTCTCCCAGAGCAACTGGGTGGTACCTGTAGCTCCCCGTTGTCGTCACCAGCAGAGAGGCCTGACTGTATCTTGCAGCCATCCTCTGCCCTTCACATTCGAAGCCACGCTATCCCCATGAAGTCGCATGCATAGCCACGGGCATTGCCGGACTGCTTCAGCAACTCAGTTTCTCCCCGGTGCCAGCTGAGACCCTTCCCACATTTCAGCCTGAACCCTACTTCTCCAGCTGTGGGGACACCAGACCTTGAGCAGAGACCCACTTCCCCATCAGCCTGGGACCAGGCAGCTGTAAGACAATGTTTACTAAAAACATGTTTACTAAAAACAATACAATTCCCCGGGGCAATAAGTTCCTGAAAAGGGCTTGCCCATGGAACCGCCCTGTCCTCGACCTTTTCCAAAGACTAACCGACTCTTCAGACCCACCCACCTCTACCTCTGGTGTCAGGGTATGTAATAACCAGCCAGAATAGGAATAAAGGGGAGCCTTCTTGAGGAGCCTTCTGGTCTCTTAGGCTAGCCTCTGCTACGGGGTTTTTCTTTTCTCATCTATTTGCTAGGCCCAGGAATGCAGCCCCGTGGCCTTTCACCTCAGACCCTGTAACAACCTGAATTTACCCGTAACACAGTGGAGGAATCCAAAGTTTAAACAGGTGTCCCTGGGCCAGGGTGCAAGGCTCAGTGGTAGAGCGCTTGTGTGTAGCATGCATATATACATGGAGCCCTAGAGTCAATCCCTCGCACACTAAATAAACACACATTGATAAATTTTAAAAAATAGATTTCCTCTTGTATTTAGCATCAGACAGTGGGAGAGTTGGGATTTGAGCCCAGAATTTGGCTTTGCTTTCTGGCACTAACTAACATATTGCATTTTTATCATCAGTGGGACAGAGGAAGAACACTCATCCCCAGACCTGGCCCTCCTACAAACCAGACCACCTTACAAATATCACTTCTCTCTTTGGGCCAAGTTTTGTCATCTGTAAAATAAGGAGGAGTTATGTAATCATCGCTCATATTTCTAGAGTGCTTGTTACACATCCAGCTAAGGCTCTTTCCGACGAATTCTCTCATTCTCTCCCACCCCAACCTTGTGATTAAGTGCAATAATAATTTATTCCCCTTCCACAAATGGGGAACTTGTGGTTTGGAGAAATTCAGTACTTTTCTCCGGGTCACACAGCTAAGAGGGGCAGATACTGACACTCAGACAAGCTTACTCAAGCGCACAAGCTTAGCCTGTCTGAGGATCTCAGAGTCCAGGTTCCTCTGTCCTGGCCTTCCCCAGTCCTAGGAGAAATCCTGCAAGTCTTGGGAGAGCCCGTTCTCTGCTTCTGTGGATGCCTGCTGCCTCAGGCTCCGGATGTTTCCAGGACTTTTCTGCCTTCTTCTCAAAGTGCAAGTTAGGAAGAATGGTCTTCTGGGACGTTCTGCAGTTCATCTCAGCTGGTTCTCAGACAGGGATGCAATTCTCCCACACCGGTCTCACTGGAGGCTCTTGTGACCAGCAAACAATGGGACTTTTTTTTATATAGTGCATATTAATTGCACAGCATAATGGGCTTCATTGTGGCATTTTCATACATGCAGACACCTTTGATCACATTCACCCCCATTGTCTCCCCTAATCCCCTACTTCTCCCCCATCCCCTACCTCTTCCCCAGTGGACAATGGGACCTTTTCAAACCAGAGTTTCAGACGTGTAAGGACTTACTCTGTTCTACCCAAGTTCCATGTTATCGTTTCTAATTAACATAACCACCATGAAACTATTTTTTTTCTCTTTTTCTAACTCTCTAAAGTGAGGGAAACAAAGAGCAGCAACCAAAGGAAGAAGCCTGGGCTTTCGAGACCCAGAAATACCTCAGGAGCCTCTTTGTGTAGACACTAGGCCTTGTTATTATCACGACTCCATGCACTTATGCATGGCTCTGGTGAGTACGAGTCTTTGGCGAGTATCTTGGTGTGTTTCCCCGTTGCTTTGTAAAACAACTTGACGAAAAGCAACTTGGAAAGGAGAGAGCTTATCTCATCTGACCGATGAATTGATGAGACCCACACACACACAATAGTAAGAGAAAGAGTCTCAGGTGGGCACATTTCATTTTCTTCCAGAACAACTTCCTCCTCTCTAGCTCCATTGCCTCTGTCCGACCCCTTGACTTCCTCTTAGGCTAGCCTCTGCTATGGGGTTTTTCTTTTCTCATTTTTTTTATGTAGATCAGTATGGTGCCTGCATATAAGTCCCATGCACCACATGTCGGTGGTGTTTGGGGAAGCAGAAGGCACTGGATTCTGAGACTGGAATTACAGATAGTTATGAGCCACCACATGAGCTCTAATAATCGACTCCGGGTCATCTGAAAGAGCGGCCGGTGCTCTTCACTGCTAAGCCATCTCTCCAGTCCTGCCTCCAAGCTTGAGAAACAGTCTGATTATACTTCTGGTTATGAGCCTAGCCTTTGACAGCCGAGCCAATTATTGATACAAAATTATCTCAAGCATACTTTCACATGGAAAATCTTCTGTATCCTTATGGAAATGACTTGTTTTCATTTATGATGTACTATTTTTACAATTTTCCCTTTCTATTTGACCAGTCTTATGAATGGCTATCCATTTGAAAATTAATTTTTATTTATAACTTCTACCTGTGTGTAGTCTATATTATTAAATTCATTGTGTTTTTCATCGTAAAATGAAAGGAAAAGAAACCCTTTCTTTGCTTCCTCCCTGAAATCTGCTATGATGTCTAGCCAGCCTCCCCCTTCGGTAGTCAGCTGCCTCTTCTCAGAGAGTTCTGTTTCATAAATAGTCAAATAGGTTTAAACACCTCACATCTCAGAAAAAAAAAAACAGAGCTAGGGTGCAGCTCAGCTGGTGGGGTGCCTAACCTGCAAAAAAGGCACTGGGCTTAGTCTCCAGCACAACACACGGGCAGCGTGTTCCTAATTACAGCACAAGGGAGGCAGAGGCAGAAAGAGCACGTGTTCTGGGCTGTCCCTCTGTTACAAAGTGAGTTTGAAGAAAACCTCGGCTACATGAGACCCTGTCCAGGAAAAAAAAGAAGAGTTGCTCAGAAATTAAGAATGCATGTCACTCTTGCAGAGGACTGCAGTTTAGTGCCTAGTGCCAGCATCAGGTGACTCACAACTGCCTATAACTCTAGCCCCAGAGGATCCAGTAACCTCTTCTGGACTCTTCCTGTACCTGTATTCATGTGCAAACCATACCACACCTCCAGACCCA